GACAAAACAGAGACAAAACCAATAATATCTTACTCTGAATACGCAACAGTATCATCCAGAATTAAACGGAAGTGTAAAACGTTAAAGAAAGTCTTAGAACACGGAAAAGGAATCTATTTGTTAGTGTAAAGAAAGTTCATGCTAATTTTTTTTTACTTTATTGATTTTTATAAAATCCAGAGTAAATAAAGTGAGATACCTCAAGATTGCATGCAAATACTTACAATAAAACGAATTTATCTTTAGTAAACACTATAAAAATATTCAGTTCATATTTTAAACAGTGAAACATAATGAGAAAAAGGGAGAAATGAATAATATGGAGATAACAAACAGTATTCAAGCTCAAAAGTCCATAAAACTATACACATTTTGGAGCAGAGTAAAACACGTACCTCTGAAACATAAGAGGTGGGATCAGGTGCCATCGAGGAGTGAGCATCTCCTGCCGACCGGTCACACCCGCCGTGGGATCCTCGTCATGGTCGGGAAATAACGGAAAACACGTCGACAATTCTGTATGAAAATAGTGGCCTAACTAATAGTATGAACATAGTCAGACAGCATCTGACTTAATGATAAATTGTATTTGCTAACAAGGTCATTGTATCGACCATATAACTTACGAAACGATGACTTTGAAGGAGACTGCTGATATTCTTGCTTCATCAACTTGTTTGTAATTAACTTATCGTGTTGAAATTGTTCTTACGTAGAACATGTTCTTGTATATCGAATTAAATGAGAGATATAAATCCAGTATGCAGGTGATGAAAGTAAATTGCTGAATAAATAAGGGAAGTTGACGATTGAAAAGTTAGCGTCGTTAAGTTTTTCATAAAGCTTGCGAAACAGATGTGTCGATCAGACTCTGTGGTATCTTTTATTTCAAGCTCACTGTAATATATCGCATCGACATAAGAATGAATATAACCATTATTAATTGACAATACGTCGTCAATATATCTAAATGTCGAGTTGTTTTCATATATAAATTTTTGAACAAATTCTGCTTCTTATGAGTACAAAAGTAGGTCTGCTGATAATGGGGTGCAGCTGATACCCATGGGAATTTAATTAGATTGTTTGAAGACCTGGTTTACAAAAACAACATATTTTGTCAATCAAAACACAAGCATCTTTTTTATATAGCAATTTCAGAGTATTTGTGTGCACAATCAAAATGTTTTCTAACACAGTAATTTTGCAAATGACTGATTACATGTACAAGGAAAGTAAATTTACAAGTTCAATTTTTTTAAATTGAAAAAGCAGCTGTCGATGATGTCAAAAAGCATGAACTTTAATTTATCGTTGTTGATTTTGGTAAATTTTTGTGTTTCAAATTTTCCCAAAGTTTCCTGGAATTTCTAAGTATGGACATCTGATTGACATCACTTCTCGAATATATTGTTGAACAGTACTCTTGAAGTTTCTCCTTCACTACTGTTAATATCATTTTGTGGAGTGAAGAAAGAGGCTTGGAGACATCTAATGGAAGCCGCTTTGCATCTTTGTTTGTAAGTTTTAGTTTCGGTATCCAATATAGATATGGTAATTCAGATATATTTTGGTTGTTTGGAATATTAAAAATATTCAAAACTGGCGTATATTTTGAAGAATTTCTTCCTTACAAAAGGGAGATATGAATATAATAAGTAAGTTGCCACTTGTAGAACTAAATCAAAGTTCCTCTAAAATACAATTCGAATAATGAGCCTTAAGAACAAAAACAATGTTGAATACTATTCGTTATATCCATATATCCACGTAATAAAATCTTTAAAAAGATTTGAATTATGATCAAATTAATGTATGACATATTATTAGGTTATTTTTTATAAGGGACAGTAAATTTTATGACTTAATTTAACAGTTACCGTTAGGATGTAATAATGCAAACCACTAGTAAACTAATAATTAACTTTTTATTATTCTGTTTTTCCTTTCACACCACTAACTTGTAATTAAATGAATCAAGCGGATATTAGGAATGAACTTGACTTTCAACTACTAGTATTGGAAATGAAATAACACTTTTATCCTAATTATTCGTGGTGTTACCGAACATTCTAAAACTATCTTTGTTTTTCTTTTCTATCGAAAAAGCAGCAGGGAATTGTAAAATAATGATAAAAATAACCCAATCTGACAAAATACAACCCCCACTTTAATCTATATTTTATTGATTAGATTGATGAAAAATAAAGCTTTTAAAAATATTTTAAGAAGTTTGGATGATTCAATTTACATTTTCTTCTTCACAATTTGCTACATTTCTCCCACAGCAAATTAGACGCACCATGAGAAGAGATAATGAAGACACAATATTTACAATTGAAAATAATTCTAATTTTTTGAGGACTTTAAATGGAGCTATTTGAAAAGTCTTTCCTTTTAATAAGAGAGCTTAAATACTGTTTCAAAATTATGAACTGAATTGAATATTTTGTTTGCATAGTGAAGAAACTCATATTTATTCCACGTTCTAAATATCTAAAATTAAGCTTCAAAGGCTATGTTTTCTAAATCTTAACAGCATTTTCTTACAAGACAACGCATTCATTGTTCTTAGACTATGGTAATTATGACAACTTCTCTATAAAAGTTATGTGAAAGAAATATCTAACATTATAAAATTTCAATATAAAAAAAAAGATGCCAAACAGTAATCTTTGAGAAATTCATAAACAAAAAAAACAAAAAAAAAAAACTATGAAGAAGGCATGAAACACGGGCTCTTGAAAATTACAGAGGTGGGATCAGGTGCCTGAGAGGCTTAAGTATCCCCTGTTGACCGGTCACACGCCGTGAGCCCATGATTTTATCAGGTAGACAGAATATTCTGAAGTCAAAATCAATGTATAAAGAAAAGCCTAACAATTGGTTTGGAAAAAGTTAACCTAAATACCCGTTTGACCGAATGAGAGGAATTATATCCTACCAATGTCATTAAAACGATCAGAAAAATTACGAGATGCTGAATTGAAACAGGGTTTTTTCGAAATCTGTGTAAAATTTTCTAAAAGATGACATTTTTTCTCACAACATTTTCATTTCCCCTTTCGAAAGGATTGCAGCCTTTCAATTAGATAAATCCAAATTCCTTTAACCCAAGTATGCTTTATGCAAGATTGATTCTAGGAAAGGGAAGGAGTCAAATGATATGTAAGGCTTAAATTTAATCTGACTGATAGACGGATATTCAGACGGACAAAGAGACGGGTGAACATCGGACAATGGGTTAAATGCAAAGTTTGAGAGTAAACAGCATTATGCCAAGAACACTATAAATTCCTATAAAATAATTTCCATAGTTTAACTCTCCAGGTTTCCAAAGCAGCTAAAATATAAAATATATAAGATGTATGTATAAAGATACATAGTTTATCATTATGTTTGAAAAACATCAATTCCCATTAATTATCATATTATTATATTACTTAAAATATAACATATATAATACAAATGTATAACGATACACGTATATTTTTTTTTGAAAAACATCGATTCACAATATTGTTCCACTATGATATTAAAGGAGGTCATTGAACTCTGGATGAGGGATAAGAAATATTAACTTGATTACCGCCATTACTCTTGTTTCTTGTTGTAAGATATAAAAGATTCTGAACAAGGAATCTTCATTTGAACTTTACATTATCAAAACGATGTTTTGATCTTTAATTTCTTCATTTATTATATTTCTATTTTCATTACTATAATCTTTAAAGAAACTCTATAACAGAATTAATCGAAATTGATTGGTAATTGCAAAATGAAATGATATGTTAAATTGATAGAAGAATTCATACTTACCTGATGGGTCGTACACATATTATTTTTCTAATGTTATTATACTAAACAAGCATCTTTAACATGCAGGCGATTTTTGCAATGATGGAAGTAGGGCGAAGCAATTTACAGGTTTTATTATCTGGAATAATAAACCCTTATATGTTGATAATTTCCTATTAACTAAAAGGATTTCTACTAGAAGAATAATAGTGCGTATAAGTAAACATGTCAAATCGGTAAGTGCATCCCTTATAGAGTAGAAATAGATATTCACAGTGTTTAAACTGTTTCATTGCGCCAATTACGCATCTCGGGTATCTTCTACTATACATGAGAAAAAGATATGTGCAAAATATTTTAGTACAGTGTTTGTTAGTCACACAGTTCAATATGTGTTTCTTTGTGACAAAACTTGCAGAATTAATAAGAAACAAGTTAGAAAAAATAAATGGATATTGGAATTTAAAAGAAGATATTCAAGACATACGTTTTATGAAAAGCATAATCATATTTAATGTGTTTAGAAGTAAAAGACATTTATTGACTGTGGTACTCATCTTATATACGATGTACAAAACTGGTCCGTTTTACAAAAGAACTTAAAAAGAACTAAGACCAAAACTTTAGTTGATTGTATACTTTTGCAAAATTAACGAGTAAATTTAAAATTGCTTTCATGAAAATATCTAACTACATTCCTTTTAAAAAGTTGAAAATAATTTTAAATTTACTACAAATAAAAAAGTTATAGGCAAATAAATTTTGGTTTTAGTCGTAAGTTCTTTTGCGAAATGCTTTTTAATACTAGTAAATATCTAAATATCTAAACGCTGTATAATTATGTAGGGCATCATAATAATTTGATAAAACAAAGATATATATATGATATTTTGGTTTATATTCGGCGAAACTTCTATTAAGAAGAAAAATATTTATATGAGAAATTGGCGGTAAGTATATAATGATTTTGCAGTGAAAAAAATGAACATGGAGAACACAAAATCAACATCTATTATTTAGTAACTTTTTCTACCGGTAAACAGTCTCATCAAGAAATGCAAAACAGAAAGACGGCCACCCGTCAGTCACACAGCGTTACTAACCAAACACTTGTAAATTACAGGAACTAATGACAGTTCTGTGAATCTTCATTTCGGCCTCAAGCAGGCTGTTTTTGACAAGTTGCTACAGAGGGCTTACAAATCACTCACTCCGCAGAAAGACAACATGGCGGGGTGCCTGTGATTACGGAGATGGACCTCCATTTTAGATGTACGTCACCTTCCGTCTATTATTGGTAAGAGGGATTGGATAATGAAGCAAAAATGTCACAATAAGGAATGAAATTCATGAATATTCACAACGTAATAAACACATATTCATGCAGATACAACCAAAAAGAATCGTAAACGGCAGGAGACCTTGGATAATTTGATGACGTCATCATTTTCTTAGCGTTAAAACTTCCATAGGATAGTTGCATTTCTCACTTGGAAAAGCTGTTGCAATAGGAACTCATGAAAGGTAAGACAATACTGATGTTTTTATGTTATGAAATATCTATTCAGATACTAGGATTTTTGTTTTGGATGAGGAAAAAGAAAAGAATAAACATTCAAAAAAAAGAACATTGAATATTTTCTTTCTGAGAAGTAACGTATGTACGTTTTTAAATTAAATTTTAAAGCATATATTTAACCCTCTGTCTTGAAAAAAATTATAATTTTAAAAAGAAATTTAAAAAATGGATAAATTGGATAAAACAAGAAGATTAACAGAAGGAGTTGAGAACATTTAACAAGATATTGTTCCATAAAGAGAATAATTTGTATTTGTTATATTAGTCATTCCATATTTTTATAAATTAAACATAAGGTACTGAAAGTGCATGATTACTTATTTTCCTCTTAGTTTTATTGACTTCCTTTTGCATTGTAAAACTGTGCATGTTTTATTCAAATGATGATATGTAGTCATACGCACATTCATTTATTTCTAAGAGCATATTTGATACTTGAATAACATTTTAATCAAGAGTTATAAATCTGACAGGGATATTGTTTCTTGCTGCTTAGAAAAACTAATCGAAAAGAAATGCTTAATTTTCTTCATTGAAGTAATGTGGGTTTATTAAAACAATTGGAACGTTAGTTTTCTAGATTAACTTATTTAGTCATTCGTTGTTTTCCGCTTATGCGTCCGCGGACGGATTGGTTTTGAGGTAATGGAAGTTAAACAAAACACCAAAAAGTATCAGCATAAAGTAAAATAGTTTACTCTTCAGGGATATGGATTTCTATTTTTACATTCTTTTTCAAAATTTGGTTTGTTAAAATGCATAGCGTTTTTTTTTTAAAAGTATTATTTTTTAGATATACAATGTGTAGAAAATACTAATTTTTTCTTATTAATGATATATGTATAATGCTATAACATTTTCCCCTGTTGGCTTTTGTGTGTTTTCGAATTAAAAAAAGATATAATAATTTCGGTTTTAGGGTGGACGATTAGCACAAAAAGGATGGAATATCCTTATATAGTAGAAGTAAATGTTCGTTACATCCTTGTTCCGACTTTGTGAATCGTTTGACATAACAATTTTATTTCTTCATTCCCGAAATATTTTTTTCTCTGCATTATTGAGGTATAATTAATTCATATTACTCACATCATAAAGAGAATGTAAACAGATAAAGAATCCAAAGAAAATTAACTTGACCTTTACTAAATTGATTATTAGTATAAATAAAATGACGACAGATCAGATCAAGTAAACAAATTATATATCTGTAACTGAGAATAATGAGTACATGAAGGTAATGATACTGATTTTATTGTGATATGGATTAAAGCATTAAATAGAAAAACATGACCTATGTAATTACGAGATATTGATGTTCGCTAATTTACATTTTATTGGAGATCATGTTATCGTGACGATCAGGTTACCTGACTGTCTTCAGGGTTTTAGTTTTTACCTTGCTGCACTTCCTGTTGTTTGTCGGTAGTAAGGTACGAGGGCTGTTCAATAAATAATGTCCTCGGTGCTCAGAAAGAAGCAGACGACGCTTTTCAATGATTAAGTCTTCATGATTTTACTTATTAATCTCATTTAATTCAAACACATTTCCGTAACATTTTTCATCCAATTACTGATAGTTTTTAGAACTCATTTTTGGGTATGACCCTTAGTATACTGGAAATTGGAAGATCCAATGATTTCCTGGACTTGTTTTTCTCTTCTGAGAGGTTTTTTTTCAAATTTGGAAATAGAAACAAGTCAAAAGGTCAAAGATCTGGCAAATATTGTTAATGTGAAAAAACATTAACTTTCTGTTTATCCAGAAAAACCCCTTCTACTCTTCAGGGCATGCGGGTTTGGACGCTGTCATGAAGAAATTCAATGTGGTGGATTTCTGATTCTGGGTCCTTAATAAACCTTTCGATTTTTTTTGCAAAATTTTTTTTTCTAGACTCCTCCAGATATTATACTGTCTCCCCGAATACGAATTTGAACAACAATACCACTTATATTTTAAAAGATTGCATATAAATCTGTCTTTGTGCTCTTGCATACCTTTGCTTTTGTCAGACCTTCGCCGTTTTTATGAAGTACATCTTATGGTAAATTTTGTTTTGATGATTGTAAGCAATAGATTCATGTTCCAATATCTGTTTGAATATAAAACAAACGTGGATAAGTACAATTACAGATATCTTAAAATAATTGTTAAGACTTTCGTACACGCTGTCGTTTTCACTCATTTTTCAAAATATAGGGTGACCTTTGAGTACCGAGCTTATTTACTGTCAAACGTTTCTTAAAAACAGTGTAAATTACTCCCGATATGATGTCTATCAAATTTTCTATGTGTCTTAAAGTCAATCATACATCATCAAATATTATTTGTTGAAATTTGGCAAACAGTACATAAGTTGTTATAATTTTTGTTGGCAAAGGAGGGTTGCCATTTTTGATACCCATTAAATAATTTTTTATCATTGAAATCCACCCGCTCATTTGTCTATAAATCAGGCATCGGTTGCTGTAAATGACACATATTTCAATGAATATTTCTTAGGGATTTTTAACACGTTTTACAGCAGCTTTAATGTAGCCTTTATTTTCACTCTAATTTACTGATTCTTTAACATTCATTTATAATGCAGTGTCTCGAATAGCCCTTGTTTCCCAGCTTCTCACGATGAAACTATGTGATAAAAAGTGGTCACATAAACTGTTATAAATTCAGTAAAGATTCAATAATGAGAGAAAGTCAAGTTTAATGTCATATGATATCTGTATTGTATGTCATACAGTTCAGGACATGATTTATTGAATAGCCCTCGTATTATCAGATAAAGATGCGTGCACACAAAAAGAGAAAAAAAAATTAAGAACATCTAAGAATGTTCAAATAATGACGATTTTTCAAAATCTTAAGAATGATTATAGCTAACTCACTGAAGGATAAAATCCAACATCCAGGAACTCGATGCAACAAATTAAATGTAGAAGGAAGTAAAATTTGCAGTGGATTTAAACTGAAGCATATTTTATCAGTCTTCCTTACTTTTAAAACACATACATGCATGTTTCAGCTTCGTTTTACTGGAGCATTAATGATTTTGAATAAGATTTTTTACGATAATATTCTTGGGTTTTGGGGTAACTAGGGCAAGATCTATGATCTGAACAATCTTACTGTAAGTTACACGAGTAAACTTCAAGTTAAACTACAGTCTCAGATACTATGAGGTTATCAAGGAAAAGAATGTTGATTTGTAATGCCCATAAAGTCACGAATTTTCCGATGATCACATTTTGCTTTCGTCTAGATAGGAACTCATTGATAGAAAATCATATAGGAATTGTACAAACAGGAATCTTTTTCACTCTAACACACTATGACGTCTCGTAAAGAGAAACTGTTTTCTTCACTAATTGTCTTTGCTGGAGAGTAGGTAAAAAATATCAATTAATTTGATACTGTACTCCAAAGTACGTATGACATAAAGAGGGATCAGGGACGTCAGAGAAGACTGCGAGGGTGTTCAAATCCGTTGATTTGAAAAAAAAAACTTCCGTTAGATTTACCTAAACACTAAGAAGTTTCAACAATATGCTTATTTGTGACTAAGCCCTGGAAGATTAAAATAAATCTCAACTGAAATTTTATAAATTAAATATGCTAATTCATCTTGTCGTACAAAACGTTTTACTTCCGATTGCTTTCTGTTTTTGACATTTTCTACTTGACACTCGTATTTCATATAAAGAGCCATACAGCCGCATGTAAAAAAATATTCGGTCTTAAATTATTTAAACTTGTCATATATTTTTAAATTTCCTTTCCCGTGAGTTGCAGTGCTGAGTTGATTTTAACGTCACAGACTAGAATCCCACTGGATGACGTAAAGATTTGTACACTAAACTAGAGGTACTGTGAGCAATGAGCTCACTAAATGATACCCCCGGCCTCCCATATGATGATAATGGTAGTGTCCATGTTTTGCTGTGGGAAACCCAAAATATGTGTTGGAACAAAAAGTAAAATAGGAGGTGCACAATGGCTTTATATAATAAAGATTCTGTGAAAGTTTCATCAAATTTCAGCTTTTCAAGCGGGGGTATAATAAGACCGTATTAAATTGAGGTTATGCTATGCAGTATATGTGTAGATCTTCGTATAATCTGCAATTTTTAATTTCCCTATATGAATGAAATATTATTAAAAGGACATAAAACAAGCATAAAATTAAGAAAGACTCCAGCTTTTGAATTCTTTTATTTCAATTAATTCTATTTGCAACTGCAAAATAATTAAATGTAGGTAAAGTGATTTTTACATTAAATATTAAGATGAGATTAATATATTTGTTAAGAAAAACAATGTCGTAACACTGTCGTTTATCAGTTTGTCAGTATCTATTTACCTAACCATTATTATTTTCAAATATAACACTAAATAATTGTTTTTCTTTGATTGTTAATACAGGAATAAACTCTGTAGCTGCTGCAAACAAAAATAACATAACCCGTTCATGCCGGTTATGCATTTTTCCCTGCAAAAGCTACAATATTGATTCTCAGACTAACAACAGAATTAAAGAAAACATTTAATTGTTCAAGTTAACATCAAATGTTCATTAAAATAAAGATGTAACCTTAAAAAGGGTTTTCAGGGAATCATGAAAAGAATTACGTACCCGTATTAAACAATTACTATTACGAAAAACAATCAGTACTGATATGAAGTTGACATTTATACTCTTTTTGAAGGGTATTTGCAGAACACTCTGAAGAAGCTAAGCATTACTGGAATATGTTTGCTTCAAATTCAATAAGTAGCTTTATTTGTTTGATTATCAACATTTGGAATTTATAATTGTTACCTATACAACATATATCTTAGTAAGACTTCTTTGTGGTGATAACAAAATAATGAATACACAAAATATAAAGGGGCAATTTTCTCCGTTTCAGGTATTATGCCAACAAACTGCGTGTACTTCGTGTTACTGGTGACTCTGGTCTGTGTATACACAGTGCTCGGTAATGACTCCTTGTTACCGCCTAGTCGACCCTCAGCCTTCAGGAGTCCGGCACAACTCAGAAGATACCTGAAAGCTCTCAATGATTATTACGCTATAGTGGGGAGGCCCAGGTAAGAATTCGTTAAGAGGAAATATTTAATAAAGTCTCTTCGTCCTCATTCAGTTAAGTTGTACCAATACTTATGAAAAAACGTTTATTTGATTTAATATCTGAAAATGAAGAAAACATTCTCAGTATTTTCTGTATGTCAAATTATGATTTAAAAAAATAGATAAGGATGAAATTTTTAAAGAATGTTTGCTGACACAAATTGTTTCATATATAGATAATGTACCAGTAAAAAGGGTATTGATAACCTTATAACAAGAATCTATGGTTAGATTGATAATTTTAACTTTTTCGTTTTCCTAATTTATGTAGCAATATACCTGCATATGGGGTTTATGTCACTGAGTTGATTAAATTAGAAAGAACATGCTCTATATAAGATCAATTAAAAAAACGCGATCTAACAAAATACAAATTGATGAAACAAGGATATCAACAGTCTCGTTTCAAGTCATCATTTGCGAGTTCTATGTGATCTATCGGCAAGGGGATGCTTACTCCTCCTTGTCACCTGATCCCACCTCTGGTGTTTTAGAGGTCCTTGTTTGTTCTGCCCCTGATTTATATTATTTGGATGGACCTTTCAGATTGAATACTGTTTGTTATTTTATTCGATTGTCAATACAATGACCTTATCAGCAAATACAATTAAACGTTGAGATTTAACGACATTTCAATACTTTAAATTCTTTCTAATTTTTTGTCACAACGAGATATAACAAAGATTTATATCATCGGAAATTTTTACTACATGTACTTTTACTGCTATAACTGCTTTCTAATTCAATTTTTGCGATATTTAAGAATAGCTGAAATATACAGTGTATTAACTAAGATTAAGTTTCCCAACAATTGTATAGTCAGTTTGGGAAACGATTTAACTGAGCATTTTTTTACTCCTTTGTTTCAAAAACCCTTATTATGATCTATTTAAAAGTAATGGTTTCTACGTGTACTTTTATAAATTGAAACAAAATATTCTATATGTATATCATGTGAATCATTTAGATTTTATATTGTGACAAAGAAAATTTACTAAGTATTGAAATGTTTCTAAATAAGTTTGACAAAATGATAATGAATTATGACGTTAAGTACCCCCTAAAACTTTTGATGAAGTCAACTCTGATTGAGAGGGTATTCGAAAAACACTTCGGAAAAAAAATCAATTGAAAATAGGAATATTTTTTATAATATGTATTTAATTACTTTATTGATTATTCACGTTAGAATATTTGGAATAAACGTGTATCTTGGGTGTAAAAATGTAGGTTTTCTGCAGAAACAGCCGCATCGGTTAGAATTAATCTTATTGGCATATTGAAAGGGTTTAAGTCAATTTTCTATTTTTTTCCTAGTTGAAATAAAAAATTGAGTTTTGTCCCTTTTCACGTATGCTGGTAGAAATATGTTTTTAATTTTTCATACACGTATTTACTTATCATCATGCGCTCTATAAATGAACTTTTTATTAAAATATTTTGAATAATATTATGGAAGGTTAGGACCATTTTTATGATTAAGGTAGATTTTTAACAGAAAAAGATTAGAATCATTTTTTGTCTTAATTTAAATGACGGTCAAAAACAATGCTTCAAAAACAAAAATCTGCCTACTGCATTGAATTCTGAAACTTTTAACTTGAGAAACTGTGAGTATATTTCAATTTACCTTAAGATTGAGTTTTTAATCTGAAAAATAAATAAATCCATTTTTGTTGTGTATTTTTATAGATTCGGCAAAAGAAGTAACGATTATTCATTTACAGACCAAGATGACGTCGATGGTAAGTTAAACAAAGAATCAAGTTTTGTTTTATTTTAAGTTAAATAACCAGGTAAGCAGACTCTGTTATATTTGTTTGTTTTTTTTTTTTTTTTTTTTACATATATGTAAATCTTGTACCAGTGATGTAGATGCAAGGTAGGAATTTATGTTGGTTTGAAATGTTTTATTTGAAATCAGTCACTTATATTTTTAGTTACAGACAAACCATGAAATTGTAGATCAGTAACATTTTTTAAAAGTAAGAAATTTGTTCTAAAACATCTTTAAGTTTTAATTGTTAAATCTTATCCGCGAACTTTCATATTTAATTAAAACAATAAAAACATAAGTTAAGCATCTGTTACAGTGTATATTTGAATTAAATTGCTTCACAAGAATAACTCTGAGAATGTTCAACAATATTTCAAATTATTATATACATTAAGAAAATAACCGAACATAACAAGGAGCACACGCAGGGTGCGACCGGTCGGCATGAGATGCTCACTCTTCCATGACACCTTATCCCACCTCTGATGTTTTGGAGGTCCGTGTTTGCTCTGCTCCTATATAGTATTGTTTTATGGATTATGGCTGATCTTGAAAACTGTTAGTTATCTATACATGTATATGTTTCAATCAAACTATGTAGTTTTTTTCAGGAATGGGGTTTCTATATTCCAGTCGAGATAAACCAGACAATTCAGGACAACAGTGGTGGTAGTCTAATTTACCACACATTTACCACATTTCAAATGGATCATTACTCCTTGAAAAGTGTACTCGTATGGACAGATATGCATGTCAGTGTTCATCATCTAATTTTAGACTTAAGACCGAAATATTATTCTGAAAATACATTACTTTTAATATTGACAGTTTTCTGCCCGGTACTATTTTCAAGGAATGGGTTGGACTTAAGTTTCAATTCAATATGTATTATAAAAATCATTTAAACATATTCATTACATGTGTGGATATATTAAATTTATGAAATAAAATAAAGAAAAAACTTATAATAATGGTTTCCTTTTCCTAATTTTGGTGCATAGACTAACTACATGTGATATGGAATCATCAATGTTCTTGGGGAAACCAATGTTCGTGAATTTCGTGGATAACCTTTATTCACATCCCTATAAATATCTTATATCTCTGTTAATTTTTTTGGTTACAAAAAATTACCCATTAAAAATTCATTCCAACGAATAAAATTTTGTTCAACTACGAACATTAGCTCTCCACAAATTAAAATAATTCCACAACATTCTGTAAAGAAGAATACCAGGTTAACTCTTCATTTAAAATAAATTCTTTGAAGACTTGGAGTTCAAAGCCTGCTTGGAAGGCAGCATACACTGCCCCAGAGGCTGTATTAAAAGCAATTCAAAAAGTATAATCATAATACATCAACAAACGCCATCAAGTTTACACATGATGTCAACTCAAAAGTTTTCTATGGTAACAATGGATGCGGATTTAAAAGCTTACTTCGTCAATGTTTCTCGCATCAAACGATTGAAGGACATAAAGAAAACAAATTATCCTTCTATGTTCAATAACTCAATAGTGTGATGAAGGCAGATTACAGGATCAGTATGTGCTGGTCCCTGCTGACAAAGCTGGTAACAACTTAGAGGAACTGGGATATACATTTTTCTACAAGTGGTAATCTTATCTATATCCACAGTTCCCTTAGGAGGAGATTCTTCAAAATCACATGTCAGTTTTATTACTTTTAATATTCCTAACAACCAAAATGAATTTAGCATATTTACCAAATCTGTATTGGATTCCGAAACTTCATTAAAACCATTACAAACAAAAATGCATTTCAGGTTCCAGTAAATGTTCTACCAAACCTCTTTCTTTACTCCTCACTAATAATAACGCCATGAATGAGAAACCTCAGGAGTATACTGCGCAGTAATATACTCGAGAAGGGTGTACATGTAAATCAGTTGTAGATACTCAATATCCAAGATTTTTTTTTGGAAAAGTTGAAATCACAGAAGTTTACTGAAATCAACCTGAAAACTTACGACTTTTCAACTTTATATACAACTAAAGTGTCCAGACTCTTTGACAGCTGTTTTTTTTTAAAATAAAAATCGAACTAGTAAATTTACTTTCCTTTTTATTAGTCATTTGTAAAATTATTTTGTTCTCTGTACGTATAGTTGATTTTAAGTGGGGAGGGGAACTGGGGTTTTATTGTGGAAAACCTACAATACAGAAACTCTCTAATTTAATAAAATATAATACATACATTGACTTCAGTATACATGCCAAGTCTGAGGTAAATCTACCGCCTAGGTATTCTTAAAGGACCGTCTCAAAATTGCAAAATTATTTTGTTAAAAAGCATTCTGATTGTACACACATGTACGCTGAAGTCGTCATTAAAAGATGCTTGAGTTTCTGATTGACAATGTCTACATGATTTTAGGAAACCAGGTCTTTCAACAATCAATTGGAATTCCCATGGGTTCCAAGTGCACCCCATTTTAAGCAGACCTTTTCTTAGTCATATGAAGCTGAATTCAAATATTTGAGATTCAAAAGCTTAAATGTGAAAAGAAGAAAACAGTAATCTAACAATAAAACTTGACGAGTTTCCTTGCCTGGAAAGGTTATTAAGTATAAGTACTGGAGAAAATAATGCTAAGATATAAAGATTGTATCCAAATGTCACACTTTTTTGTTCGGCTTAGTTTAAGTTTTGATCTTAGTGATTATCGTATTTGAAAATATGATAAATTATAAGAGTAATCTTTCACAGTTAAAGACCATCGACAGATAAAAACGAATGTCAAAGTGAAACTAGGTTTATTCTTTATGTTATAAGATAATGCTTTCTCAATCTTAACCTTTATTTTTTTTCGACTTCGATTTAACTTTCAAGTTTTCTGTTTCATTTAGAATTGGTAAATCGTGGTGCTAATTCACCTAAATAAACAAATACATTGTATGAAGTCTGTGTGACAGAATAATCTCAAGAAACCTAAACTTGACACATATATTTTTTATCTAAATAAAAATCAGTAAAGCTGTTTTCCCCAGTTAAACGTGACCGTCACTAGGATATGTACTTCACTTGTGAAATAAAATGGACGAAAAGAAGCTTTTCTTTTTAACGTACTCCAATGGGTATTAATGCATCATTGCAATATCTGCAGTTATCTTTCTTTCTGCTTAAGCAATAGGAGTTGCATTTCTGAAAATTTCATTTTGCTGTTAAGATATGCTGTTTTGAAAAATCTGTATGTGAAATAAACCTCTATGATAAATAAGAACAAAATAAAGTATTAAATTGTTTCTGAAGACAGAATTCAGTACAATGGAATGTGTAGTATAATTTGTACATGGCGACAATAATGTAAGTTTATAAATAGTTCTTCTACTGCAAATATGAACGAACAAAATTGTTATTTATTAAATGTTATTTCTTATGATATTGTAAAAATTAATTGCAATACTGCAACAAAAATTTCCGACATCAAAGTTACAGCTCATATTGCTTTAAGGAAAATGTGTATCCCTGAAAAGATGATAAAGAGGCGTGAGTCTATGTATGGAGGACCCCCCCCCCACCTCATATTTTTGGAACTGAACTTCTTGTCATGGGGAGAGTTGTATAGAAATTTTAATTGGGTTTGGGCCTCCTACTTAAAATAAAAAGCTGTATCCTGGCAAATGTGTTTTCTCTTTTTTTTCACGCTTTTTTAAAATTATGTCTTCTGGTATATTTTTACGGCTTATAAAAAAGATAAATGGTGCCTAATTACATGTAACCCTTTTAAAACAATCCAAAGACTTTTTAATAAAAATAAAATGATAAAAATAACAAAATACAACTTTTCACAGTACTTATAAACATTTAGGAGGGTTATTAAAGCTGAACAATATCGCTCTTCATCATGCTTCTTTCTTTTCTTTTCTTCTTCTTCTTTTTTTTTTTTTAGAAAGTTTAAATTGACTCTTTACAGGTAAAATTATTTATTCGGTTAATTTGTACAATTTTAATTCATCTTATCGAAAAAAAAAACTCTTTAAAAATCTTAGCAACACTGTTATGTAATAACATAACATGACAATTTTTCAAATCTACTTAGTCATGTCACGCAAGGCTTGTGATACGATACTTATTTACATACTGATTGTTAGGTCATTATTTACACACTTAGTTGTCCACTGATTTTTTCCGTTATTTCCCGATCATGACAAGGAGCACACCGCAGGTGTTACTGGTCGGCAGGGGATGCTCACTCCTCCATGGCAGCTGATCCCACCTCTGATGTTTCGGAGGTCCGTGTTTGCTCCACCCCTTTTTATAATATTTAATCATGTGTAATGTTTGAGCCCAAATACTCTTCGTTATCTCCGTTTCCTCACAGACCCTCCGTCTTATTTGCGATGTTTTTTTGAACAGCCTTTCCATTCTTCTTCTTTTGCTTTTATGAGACTGGATACTGTTCGTTATTTCAAATTTTTTACCATCAAGTTTTTCCCACTTAAAACTGTATTTGCCATTTTTACACAAATACAAAAATCAAATTTGGTATAATTTTTGCATTCTCCGAACTTTTCAGAGATTTGACAAAGGTTTTTCACAGTGCATGGCAAATTGCATCGCTACTTACTATTCTATGACGTCCTGAAAAATGATACTTTTTACCTTAGAAACACACAATACCTGTCTTCTTTTAAGTCGTACGCCAAAAACAATATATTTACCTATACCTTGTACCTTCTACGCCAACATTCATTCACACCGATCGCTCTCCAAACAATGGATGCAGTATCTACGCAGTAAAGATACATGTAATCGGTAATTTGCTACAACTAAACCAGGGGCTGCTCATAGCTGTATATATTTTTGAGACAGTTTTCATATTTTGATCTTGCAAAAAAAACAAAAAACAAAAAAACAAAAAAACTAGCAATTGTTCCCCCTTGGCATTTTATGCTCTTTTAGCAGAAAACAACTATCCAGCCTTTCATGGATAAAAACTAGAAAAAAAGGAAAATGTATTTCCAAAAATGAGAACTTTTTCCCTGAAATAGTCGGAAATCATCGCAGTGTAAAATCAACTGCGTAAAAACCATTTGATTTTGGACTTTCCACATTTTTGTCTTTGTCATATTTTATTTCATACATTTTCATAAAAAAACTAATTCTAACATAAGAAATGAATGTTTGAAATAGATCAATTATTTTATTACAACGTGACATAGTGTTATGTCTCAAGAGATGTTTATTTCATACCAAGATTAAATATCTATTTTTTATGTTCAAAACAATAAAGTATTATGTTCGTATTTAATAAAAATATCTGTGTTTTCAATAAAACATTGTCAATACCTTTTAGATAAATTCATTTAAATTACATGTATCAAGTATAATTTTAAAGCCTGGAATTTATAGCAGTCACTGATTTATCAGGATTCCAGAGGCTGCATGTACCAAGTTTACACCCAACACAAATTTTCCAAGTCTGTCTCATACATTTATAACGTTGCCGTTTTTGAGACATGTCTATTAGATTCGAAAAATATATTAATTTTTCTTTATCAATAGATATGCATATTGGTTGATTAAGAAAATACCTTATGAAAATTTTACCTTAATTTAATGACCACACAGAACCTCTGTCTATATTTTAACCATATACGCTGCTATTTCCTTCTCCCCTTTCGTCCTGGAAGCAACAAATGCAGGTTCAGAAGAATTTTTTTTCCTATTAAACTAGATTTTATGTTTTATCATATATTTTTTAAAATTTTTAACTTTAAATGCTATTCAATTTTTTTTTCTCAAAAATTGACAAGACTGCAATATTTGTTGTGCCATTTATTAGGTATTTAAAGATAACAAGAGGTATTTTGTAATATACACCCAATAATGTCCTCATTGCTTTTACAAAATACTCAAGTTTTTTTGGGCTGTATATTACCTGTTTGTATGTATAATTAAATATTCATTTCTGCTATCCAATAAACTCAAGTTTC